TTTTTTTTTCTCCCCCTTTCCCTCGTCGCGTTCTACTGGCGCGCTTTCTTCGTTGGAAAAATGTCTGGCTATTAATTTGATCTCACCTCCTGCCGCGACTAGCAGCTTGACAGAACGTACCACCTAGCAAGACAGACAGCATAAATTAACCACCCGATCGTGCCTTTCGAATTTCCTTTGTTATATGCCACGGGCAAAGCAAGAAGGGAGAGAAAATAAAACGAAAGAGGAACGGAAAAGAAAAAGGAAAAAGAGGACGAGAAAGAGGAGAGAGCGAAACTTCCGAAGGGATTTAAAACGAAACAACCAGAGGCAACAACTTGAAGTTCTGGCAATGGGTATAAACGTCGAGCTGGCCTCGATCGTGAAACATTTCTCATGTCGTTGAATGTAAATATGAATGGAGCAACGAGGAACGCTCTGACACGAACAGAAGCAATGTTATGCCAACTATATTGGCGTATAATTGAAGAGTGTAACGTTGGAGACTTCAGATTCAGGTAAATGTTAATTGATCGTGATTATTATGTCCGAGTATTTTCTACAATCGAATTAATTGCTACGATTGGATCGCTCTCTTTTTCTGTGGAAACGTCATTTATTGTATACTTTGACGTTGTATATTGTTATTACAATTCTTTGAAAATGTAAATGGAAAACATGCTCAACGATGGAATCCTGAAACTTGATCGTGTTTTGAATATGAAGTATTATTTCAACATGTTAATATATGTTGATTAACTTGAGCCATTCCTTTTTTTATGATTTTTATGACATCACATTTTGAAACATTTTTATCAACGGTGACAACAGAGGGATTTAATGTTTCAAATAAAAAAAAAAAAAAATTATTAATCCGATTGTCAGCAATGCGAATGAAACTTTTTCAACCATTGCAATTTTGCAGATGAACTATCAACGGTAAACCAATCTTTAATTGTCAAATACTTGCAAACTTTATTTATTCTTGAAACATGTCAATTATAAATTGACGAACAAAACTGATGAATTTTATTTATATGTACTTGATGTTATGTTACGACAGAAAAGAACAGAAGACAAAAGAAGTTTTCATGTATTTATAGGAAATTTAAAATTACAAACATGTGTAGTATAAAATATGATACTCTTCGTACTATCTAATGAGTAAAACAAGTATCGCTTTAGGTTTTATCTATTTCTTTGACGATTCCTACTAATTATATATTCCACTAGTATTCTTTATTT